TAGTGTATAAAAATGCTGTACTTCCTTGTAAAATCAAAGTGGGTCATTGATCTCTCTTCCAATCTGAGCTGTAGATTAAGGGAAAAATGCTTTCTCACATCGAGAACAGATTTGTGGAAGATCCTTTGGCCCTCTCCCTGCATTAACTGGTTTCTTCTTGAATAAACATCTTCCACTTGCCTGAATCCTGTCTGCATCCTGAGTATTTGTTTCTCGCCAGGGTTTGCGGAGGGAAGCATGGGAATGAGGAGGGTAAGTTCCTTTACAAAGTCGTTGACAACGTTCTTCACGGCAGACAAAATAATAGGGTAAGATTACATGGGACTTGGGGTGAGGCTGGAAATTGGATACAAAACTGACTTGATGGCAGGAGACGGCGATGGCTTGGCAGTTGCTTTCTGGACCGGAGGCCTGTTACTACTGGTGTTCCACTCCAACTTGTGTTGGGTCCACTTTTATTTATCATTTATATAAATGATTCAGATGAGAATTTCGAAGGCATGGGTCGTAATTTTGAAGATGTCACCAAAATTAGTGGCATAGTGGACAGTGAAGATGGTTATCTAAGATTACAAAGAGATCTTGATCAATTGGGTCAATGGCTTGAGGACAGGCAGATGGATTACTGAGGCATTGCATTTTTGAAAAACAGAGTGGCAGGGCTTGTAGAGATTCAAGCAGGGCCTTGGATAGTGTTGTAGAATAGAGAGAACTAATGGGTCAAGTATATAGTTCTTTGAAGTTTGCATCAGCTGTAGATCACGTGGCACCTGGCTTCATTACTCACTCCTTTTGAGTACAGGACATTTTTGAGACTTTTACTGAAGCACTATATCAGGTTCTGGTCACCCTGTTAGGGAAGGATATTATTGCACTGGAGGACCTTCAGAAAAGATTTACCAGGATGTTGAAGTAACACAATGTGGAGCTCGAGGAACACAACAGGCCAGGCAGCAGAGAAGCAGAAAAGTTGACTTTTTTCAGAAAAAGGGTCCTCACCCAAAAAGTCAACTTTCCGGCTGCCTGGCCTACTGTGCTCCTAAAGCTCCACAACGTGTTATCTCGTACTTAGTACTTGATGCATTGGGTCATTTTAGCTCTTCTCAAATGCAGTTACAGGAAATATGAAACTGGTTGTGAGCGAGGCACTGAGATGCATCTATATGACGATGACTAAAGTCACGCAGTTACAGAGCAATAACAAATAATACAATCCGCACGCTATTACAAATGCGATTCATTATAAATTCGTGATAAACGTTTCACTTTCCATGTGTCTCAGCTGTTGTGTGAACGTGACTGACTGCATCCTGTTAGTAAAGATT